CAGATTCAGAAGAGGACTTAGAAGGAGGGATACCATTGGTGACGTCAGATGGATCTTGGCTGAAAGCAGAGAATACCAGAAAGATGTATACTTTTGCCTTTTTGACTATGCAAAGACTTTTGACTGTGTTGATCATGACAAACTGTGGATAACATTGTGAACAATGGGTATTCCAGAACACTTAATTGAGTTGATGAGGAACCTGTGCATGGACCAAGAGGCAATCTCTTCAACAGAACAAGGGGGTGCTCAAAGGTTTAAAATCAGGAAAGGTGTGCACCACGGTAGTATCCTTTCACCACACTTTCAATCTGGATGCTGAGCAAATAATAAAGAAGCTGTATTATATGAACAATACTGTAGTATCAGGATTGGTGGAAGATTTATTAATAACTTTTGATGTTCAGATGATACAGCCTTGCTTGCTGGAAGTGAAGAGGACTTGAAAATACTTACTGAGGAAGATCAATGATCACAACTTTCAGTATGGATTGCTTCTCAATGTAAAAAAAAAAAAACACACACACACCAAAAAATAACATACAAATTTCCTCACAACTGGGTCAATAAATAATATCATGATAAATGGAAAAAAAGATTGAAGTTGTGAAAGACTTCATTTTGCTTGGCTCTACAATCAACACTTAGAAAAGCAGCAGTTAAGATATCAGATGATGTATTATATTAGGCAAATCGACTGCACAAGACCTCTTTTAAGTGTTAAAGAGCAAAGATGTCAGTTCAAGAAGTAAGGTGTGCCAGCTCAAGCCATGGTATTTTCAGTTGCCTCAGTTACATGTGAAAGTTGGACAGTGAATGAGAAAGACTAGACAAGAATTGATGCTTTTAAGGAATAGGTTTGGCAAAGAATATTGAAAGTACCATGGACTGCCAGAAGAACAAACAAAACTGTGTTGGAAGAAATACAACCATAAAGCTTCTTAGAAGCCATCATGGTGAAACTTCATCTGTCATACTTTGGACATGTTATTAGGAGGGACCAGTCCATACATCTGGGAGAAGGAAGGTCAGCGCAAAAGAGGGAGACTCCCAATGAGATGGATTGACACATGGCAGCAACAATGTGTCTAGACATTGGACAAAGCACAGGACTAGACATTGCTTTGTTGTGGTGTGCATGTGGTCACTATGAGTTAGAATGGACTCGACAGGACTTAACCACAGTAACAACCCACATTTCCACTTTACTCCTTATTTCCCACACATTCACCTGTTTTCCTCTGAAATACTCTACTTCTTTCCCCCCCTATGCTTTTATGTGAATGTTTGTTTCTTACTGCTCAGCAATCAGCATCAGTGTCTCCTTTACAGGATTGGTCTTTCCCAGCCACTGCAGCTGAAGTGGTAGCTTCCTGCCGTCACCATGCGCTCATCACCATGTCTGATTATCTTCATAGCACATTACCAATAACCCCACCAAATCCTCTTGACTTCTTTGCTAATTTGATCATCGTCTTTATTCCTATGGTAATGTAAATCATTATCTCTTACTCATTGAGGACAGGAGTCTTGTCTGTTTTGTTCATTGCTGTCTCTTCAGTATACCTGGTGATAACCTGGCTCTTAATGAATCTTAGTTGAGAAACAAAAGAATGAGCACAGAGAGCTATGCAAGATGTGCCTACACCAGCACAAAAAATGTAACTTCTTCTTTAACCAGAATATCCCCTTTCTTACTCCTAATTGCTTTGCTTCCACTGTCTACCAAAGGCAGCAGGAAAGCAAGGCCTCCAGACCTTGTAAGCACTTGCGACGTCTGTAGTCTGCTGAGGTCTGCTAGGGGTGGGGCGGTGATTTGTCACTGTTTCTTCACAGTTGCCTGGTGTGGTGCTGCAGGAACAGAACTGGACTGTGAACCACAAGGTCGACATTTCAAACGTTATGAACTGCTCCTCGGAAACCCTATACAGGACCGCTATGAGTCAGAACTGACTTGGTGGCACTTAACAGCAACTAACCTTTGTCGATGGGTGAATCATAGCTTCAGGTTCAGGCTTTTGTCATTGTTGTTTTAGTTGGAGAGATCTTATTTTCCTTAAAACATTCACATTAAGAAGCTCGGACAGCTTTGGAGGAAAATATGCCACCAGCATCAAGCCTCAACCAAGAATTAGGTGTGTGCAGATGTTTAAAATGTAAACTTCAGCTAGGAGAAGTTCAGCAAGTAAATGAGCAGCGTGTTGCTTAGTGCCACCGAACATCTGGTGGAACAGGCGAGAAGCAAAGCAGTTTGGTTTTTATTCTTTTTAGCATCATGTTAAATTGGCCATGAAACCAGGGATGATAGAATTGAATTATAAGAGGGCTGCATTATTAAATAGAAATCTAGGAGACAGTTAAGGTGCTCGGCTCAAGGCGGGCAAGACTCTAATAAAAACAAAAAACCACAGCAACAATAAAATCACTCCTGGAGAGCATCCTCATGGCCACTCCGTATGTTTCAGAGAACTGTGCTCCATTGGGTTTTCCTATGGAAGCACATTGCCAGGTCTTTCTTCTGTGGCACTGCTAGCTGGATTTTAACTGCCAATCTTTTGTTTAGCAATCCCCAAGAGACCTCAACTTTGTTGTTGTTAAATGCTGTCGAGTTGGTTCGGACCCATAGGGTTTCCAAGGAGCACCTGGTGTGTTGAACCGCCAACCTTGCAGTTTGACCTTGCAGTTTGACCAGCACATTAGCCCGCAGCGCCACACCAAGACTCTACTAATAAGAGGTTAAAAACTCTGAAAAACAAGTGTGAAGAGAGGACCATAGTCGTTGCTAATACAGTTGGGTGTTGCTTAACATCCATGATCTGTTTTGTGAAGTAGGACAGTACATGATTTTGGATGTTGTGTGAACACCGTTTCATAGCCTGGTGCTGTTTGTTCTTTAACCAAGTTGGACAAGTTTCTTGCTTTAGTAGTGGTTGTCACTATGCTGAGAGAGATTCATTTTTGTGTTTGTTTCTCAATCCACGTAATTCACAATTTCTGCATATCTGATAGATTCCCTCTTGTAGCCTTGTAGCTTTCATGGGAGCTCATCTTTAACAGCTTGGAAAGTTTTTTTTCTTTGTTTTTGAGGATCACAGTGATTGTTGAGTGTGACATGCCTATATTTTGAGCAGTAGCTTTCACAGATTTTCCACTTTTCTATTGTTTAATATCTTCTTACTTCATTTGCAAATCGATACTTCTGCTTTGTCTTCTGTTACGGCTATCACTAGCCCTGGTTTTACTGCATTTGGGAACCATGAATTCGAGAGAGTGCTACAACACTCAAGAGATGCACTAGAAACGAGATTGGATGATTCATGAGTTGAAGCATCACTATTATATGAAACTTTTAAAACAGAAGAAGTTCGGTACATATATAAGTTGATAAGACAGGCATATGTTGTGACTATCAAAACATACATGTTGTTGTTATGTGCCATATAGATTATATATGTATTGTATCCTTAAATGCTTGGCAGTGCAAATTGCTTTGTATACAAGAGACATGAGCTATTCATGTTACATGTGGGAAGCTGTTGTGTTCTAATGGGGCTTTCTGAACTTTATTATAACCGATGATGGTGATGGTTATGTGCCATGGAGTTGGTTCTGTCTCATAGCGACCCTGTATAGGGTTTCTGAGGCTGTAAATCTTTATGGGAGCAGAAAGTCTCCTCTTTAATCTTCAGAACTGCTGGTAATTTCGAACTGCTGACCTTGAGATTAGCAGCCCAACTCATAACCACTGTGCTACCAGAGCTCCTTTATGACTTTTTGAAATTAGGGATATACAGATACTACCCAAATGGATGTTAGGTAGTGTGTGACCATACTTTGCCTCCTTAAATCTGGGAGATGGAGCTACGAGATGTGCACTTCTTGGAGAGGTGACTTCCCTTGGCAAACAGGGCGTTTCCTTCTGAAGTGGAATCACTAGTTCCTTAAACATCAGTAGGAACCAGGACTGTGGCCAGATGAAGCATTTTACTGTCATTTCCTATATCCTTTCTTGTGGCTTTTCTCTCTGCTTTTGACAGCATTCTACTTCTTGTCCACAGCTGGGTGGGCTAAGCCTGTCCCATAAGGGTGTTCGATTCGAGCTTGTGTCAGAGCCATGGTAAATGCGATTAGCAGGAGTGACAGACTTAGCTTACCAACGCATGCCTTGTCTTTTCTTGTCTTCTAATGAAGCCCTTCTGTTCTACTGGGAAATCCAAGAGTCATAAGTTGTGAGGCTTGTCCCTGTGGTGTGTTGCTGAATGTTAGCATTGGGGGTGGGGGTGAGGCCAATTCCTGACTTTGTAGCAGTAGTTGACTTTCAGTTGCTATTGTTAATTGCCACGGAATTGGTTCCGACTCATAGCAACCCTCTAGTGTTTCTGAGGAACAACTGGTGGGTTTGAACTGCTGAACTTGCGGTTCACAGTCCAGTGCTGATCTTAGAGTGACGCACCCGGAGTAACACCCCATTATGAAGTGTTTTACTATAAACCAAAAGAACCTACTGCCTTTGAGTTGATTCCAGCTCATCGCTACCATGTTGTTATGTGCCATTGTGTTGGTTCCAACTCATAGCAACCCTGTATAGGGTTTCCCAGGAGCAACTGGTGAGCTTAAACTGCTGACCTTGCAGTTCAAAATGACCTTGCAGTCCAACGCATTAACCTGCAGCACCATAAACAAGAAGAAGAAAAAGTAGCAGTTGAATTGATTCCAACGTCAGTGATCCCACGTGTGTCAAAGTAGAACTGTACCCCTTAGTATTTTCAATGGTTGACTTTTCAGAAGTGGAACACCAAGTCTTTTTTCTAAGGCACCTTGTGGGTGATCTCAAATTGCCAACCTTTTGATTAGCAGTCAAGCACATAGCTACCCAGGGACTCCCCTTACAAGGTTGTCCTCCCATAAATCTTCTGCATCATGTTTAGACTTTGAGGAATTTGGCATGGACAAAGCTTATAACCACCACCCTGCGGCAGGTTGGCTGTGGGCACACTTACCGGCTCCGTATCAGGTCTTTTTTGAGGTTTATTATTTCCTTGTTCATGTACTTGAAGCTTTTCAGTGGCTTGTCTGGGACCTGATGGAAAACCAAGAAAGGAAATGGAAAAAGAGTGTTAATAAGTACTGCTGTTACAGATGAGTCAGCCTTCATATCCAGGGGTTCCTGCATTCACCTGGAATGTGTGACCCAGGTATGAGAGGTCCCGACACCATAGAGAGGATGTGCTGCACAGGGGGAACGACCAGGACTTTGGAGTCAGGAAGAACTGAACTCTGATTCTAGTTCTGCCTTATTTCCAACTGTGTGACCTTAGACAAATAACTCAACCTCTCTGTGCCCATTTCTTGTAGAACAATTCCTTCCCTGTCAAGAAGACTGAATCACAAATTTCCCTACATATCAGGCACTTGATAAATGACAGTTATTATTAGCAAGGAGTCCTGGTGTGGAGCTGTAGGATAAGCACTTGACTGCTGACCAAAAGGTTGACAGTTCAGGCACACCAGCCAATCCTTCGAAATCCTATACTTACACGCTCACTATGAGTTGGAACTGGCTCAATGGCATTTAACATTATTAGCCAGGATCCTGGTGACTCAGTGGTTGAGAGCTCAGCTGTTAACTGAAAAGCTGGCGGAGTCAGGCCACCAGCTGTTCCTTGGAAGAAAGATGCAGCAGTTTACTTCTGTAAAGACTCCATAGTTCTGCTAGGTTGTGTAGGGCGGCTGCTGTGAGTCAGAGCTGACTTAATAGCAACAGGTTCATTATCAGTACTTTGTTGTTGTTAAGTGCTTACTTGGTTCTGACTCACAGCGACCCTGTAGAGGGTTTCCAAGGAGTGACTGGTGAGGTTGAACTGTCAACCTTGTAGTTCAAACCAACCTTGTGGTCCAGTGTTTTATCCCACAGTGCCACGCCAGCGCTTTAGTCAAAGTAAAGCAAGGAATTAAACACTGATTATTGTTATCCACCACTCATCTGTCAGTGTGTTGCATTTTAGTGACTTGCCTGTTGCTGCGATCCTGGAAGCTATGCCAGTGGTATTTCCAATGTCAGCACGGCCACCCCCGGTGGACCAGTTTAAGCAGAGCTTCCAGATTAAGACAGACTAGCCACTGAAAACCTTGTGAATCATCAGTGAAACACTGTCTGGTGTAGTGCCGAAAGATGGACCCCCTCAGGTTGGAAGGCACTCAAAATATGACTGGGAAAGAGCTGCCTCCTCAAAGTTGATCATATTGATGTGGAAGCAGCAACACTTTCAGAACCTTCATTTGCTGATGTGGTACAATTCAAAATAAGATGAGAAATAGCTGTAAACATCCATAAATAATTGAAACATGGAATGTACTAAGCATGAATCTTGGAATATTGGAACTTGGCAAAAACGAAATGGAATGTAGAAAGATCAATATCCTAAGCAATTAGTGAACTGAAATGGACAGGTTTGGGCCATTTTGAATCAGACATTCAAGTGGTCTGCCACGCCCAAAATGACAAATTGAAGAGAAATGGCATCACATTCATTGCCAAAAAGAACCTTTCAAGAGCTATTCGTGAAGTGCAGTGTTGCCATGATAGGATAATATTCACATACCTACTTTGTTATAAAGTGGTCTTCCTTGTAGGCATATGATAATTACAATTATATATTTTAAAAAGTTGATAATTACATATCAACTGTTGTTGTTATGTGCCATGGAGTCATAGCGACGCTGCACAGGATTTCTGAGGTTGTACATCTTTACGGGAGCAGAAAGCCTCATCTTCCTCTTGTGGAACAGCTGGTAATTTCAAACCGCTGACCCTGAGGTTAGCAGCCAGATTTGTAACCACTACGTTATCAGACCTCCTTACATATCAACTACTGAAGCCAAAAATCAAGAAACTGAAGATTTCTACTTGTCTGAAATTGATCAAACATGGTGATTGGAATGGGAAAGTTAGAAACAAAAAGGAAGGATTGGTTGTAAAATAATGGCCTTGGTGATAGATATGATGGTGAAAGCAGGATAAAAATGTACAAGACCGACAAATTATTCATTGCAAATACCTTTTTTCAACAACGTAAATGGCAACTATACACATGGACTTCGCCAAATGCAGTCAATGCAGCACTAAAGGCGCTTCCAAGAAATTGAAAAGACAGTTACCTGGTTAACCAACTGGAAGAAATCCATATTTGTGCCTATTCCAAAGAAACATGACCCGATAGAATGTGGAAATTATCAAACAATATCATTAATATCACAAACAATTTAAATTTTGCTTAAGATAAATTTAAAAATGATTATAGCAGCACATAGATAAGGAACTGCCATAAATTCATGTTAGATTCAGAAGTAGACTTGGAATGAGGAATAGCATACCTGATATCAGATTGTTCTTGACTGAGAATACCAGAAACATATTCACTTGTGTTTTATTGGCTTTGCAAAGGCATCCAATTTCGTGGATCATAACAAACTGTGAATAACATTATAAAACATGGAAATTCTAGAACACTTAATTGTCCTCATATGTGATCTGTACATAAGAGGCAGTCTTTTGAACAGAATAAGGGGGATACTGAGTAGTTTAAAATCATGAAAGGTGTGTGTCAGGGTTATAGCCTTTTGGTATACTCTTTCAATCTGTATGCTGAGCAAATCATTCAAGAAGGTGGACGAGATGAAGAAAAATATGGCATCAGGTTTAGAGCAAGACTCATTAACAGTTTGCAATGTACAGATGACAAACCTTGATTTCTGGAAGTGAAGAGGACTTGAAGCACTTACTAATGAAGATCAAATACTGCAGCCTTCAGTATGGATTATGCCTGAACGTAAGAAAAAGAAAACCTCACAACTGGACCAATAAGCAACATCATGATAAAAAGAGTAAAGATTGAAGTTGTCAAGGGTTTCATTTTACTTGGATCAATGCTCATGAAAGCAGCAGTAAAGAAATCAAATGAACTACTGCATTGGTCAAATCTACTGTAAAAGACTTCTTGAAATTGTTAGAGTAAAGACAGCAGTAAAGTGGAGTAAAGACAGAGAACTAGGGTGAACTTGACCCAAGCCATGATATTTTCAATGATGTCATATGCATGTGAAAAGTAGGCGATGGAGAAGGCAGACCAGAGAAGAATAGATGCATTTGAATTAAGATGTTGGTGAAGAATATTGAAAGTACCATGGACTGCTGAGTGCTGGTAGAACAAAGAAGTCTGTTTTGGGGAAAGTACAGCTAGAATGTTCCTAGAAGGGAGGATGGTGAGACTTCATCACAGATAACTTTGGACATGTTGTAAGGAGGAACCAGTCCCTGGCGAAGGACATCATGACTGGTAAAGTGGAGGGTCAGTGAAAGAGGGAGATCCCCAATGAGATGGATTAGCAAGCAGCAGCAGCAATGGACGCAAACAGCAACAATTGTGAGGACAGGACCAGGACCAGGTAGTAAGATTTTCTAAGTACTTTAATCACATAATTGTTCATAGGCTTCTCTTTCCCTCCTCTACTCATTTGCCTTCATGAGACACAGGGGAAAGCGCACAATACCTAAAATTTATTACACAGTTTGATACCAAATCATCGTAAGAAAGAGAGTTAAATTAACTTTATTTTAATATAAAAGTCACTCTTGCAGCCCAAAGTGTGGGGAAATAATAATCAGAATATGATATGGATTATCCTGTCTTAAAATTAATTCCTGCAATATTAGGATTTGTTTTTTAATAAAAAGAAATGCCAAGAAATAATGAGGAAATTGGCACACTCAGATGAAACTGGGGAGAGATATATATGCTATGATGCCTTTTTTTTTCTTTTTAAACTTTTGTGAATTGAGTGATAGTTTACAAGGGAGGACATCAATTTTGCACGCATCCTATTGTATTTCATTTCATTGCAATGATTACAATCCCCTCTATGCATCATCGTTCAATAGCATTTGCTTCTATTTCCTCTGTTTGTTTGTTTTTGGATGTACACAAAAACACTCAGGAATATATATATAATCATTTAAACATCCCAAGGGCACATTCTACAAGCTTGCCTCCTGGCCGCCAGCACATAACCTTTTTCTTTCCTTGTGTCTATAGAATCCTCAGCTGCTCTCTCTCTCCATGTCATCATCTCTGTCTCCATCTCTGGTGTCGCTGCTTCGCTGGATAGGGTCTCACATTCCACTCATACTCTTCTCCCTTGATGGACCTGGAATATTCGATTAACTACTTCCCCTTTTATGTTACAAAACTCTTACCATTAAGTTGTGACAACTGTAATTAGTTATGTTAACAATTATCAGACTTATTTACTATTGAATCATAAGAATCTTATCCCCATCTCCTTTCACCAGACCCTCTAGACAAGATGAAAACTATTCAGTGGGGATTCTACCTTCCACCGCACACTCTGAAACTAAACTCCCTCTTGGAAACCTGTAAGTCAGCTACTTCATGCCTTTATAGGTACCCCCACCCCCACACACCCATTTTAGGTAGCCAATGTCTAAGTTGCCTGTCCCTATCAACCCTGTGTATAGAGAGGATAGGTTTGGTCCTTGATGTGAGGACTCCTTTCCTGTCAGTTGGTATTTTGAGCTACTACATCCATAAGTAAAGGTCAAGTTCATAGGATGACTTTTTTGAAGGGTAATTTGTTAGTGCATAGCAGATAATTTACAAATTCCTTAGGTCTAGGAATTCCTTTGCTGTCAAATATCCTGAAGGAACATTCCTGTATGGGCAAACCAATGTAGCCACAAAACTTCTCAAAAGAATGCTGCTAGTAATAGCTAAGTATGGGAAGCAACCTATACATCTTATTATAAAAGGCAGATTCAATGGATTACTGTACATCTGAACAATGGAATAGTTAAAGCAGTGATTAAATGTAATGATAATATAATTATGTAAATATAACGTGATATACGGAGATGTTTGAGTATTTTAAGTAAGAAAACACTTTACAAAGTGCTCCCTACCCCCACCCCCCCAAAAAAAAAAAAAAAAACTGGGAAGAAGATGTGGAAAGCTGCTCCTGTAAAAATGAGTCTTGTAAGTCCTATGGTGCAGGCACACTACTGTG